ATTCCAGAAAATTTCCAGATGTAAAATATCCTCTTTTATCTACGACATGATAAATTTTTATTTGGTGGAAAGCTCTGCGAACAGTTTACATCTATTTCGTGTCAGAATGAAAAAAAAGTTATCTTTATGATCATCCAATATTTATCAATCGGTGGGAAGCAATAAAATTTGCCATATATTTCGAAGTTATTAAATTCCAAAACACGTAAATTAAAAAGTAATTTGACCTTAACATTGATTAAAAGAAGTGTAGTACACATTATGTACTCCTCTTTTAAATTTACATTTTGGCAGGAATGGCTGATTAAAATTAAACCTGTTTAAGCCCTGTTTAATATGCCTCCTCTTATCTAATTGAAACCAAATCCTACACCTTAAGCTCTAATAAAGCTTCCACGTAAGAAGCTGTTTATAAAACTAGTGTCAAAATTTATTCCCGTTTCAGTAGCAGAATTTACATAATGGAAGTAAATTGCTTTCATCAAAAAATTACGCTCAATTTGCTTTCGAATTTCCTGTGACACGCAATTTAAATAATATAATTAATAATTTTATGAAAAATTCTCTACTGATGAATGTCTAATGAAACGAAATATATTGAAATTGCATATAACTGATCTGTTCGGAAGTTATAATTACACTTTATAATGATTAAACATACACCGTTTGAATGGCTTTTAATTTCTACATCAACTGTTCTAATTCAAAAAGCTAACACTAAATATATATTAATCAGTTTTGCCGTATAAATTGCGTTGCTTGTTACTAATGAGGAAGCTTGATTTCTGGAAACATCTCCACATTATTAAGTTAATTTATGATGCGTACTTGTGCAATCATGCCTGCTTGCTTATGTATGTATATATAATTTACATTTACATCAGTAAATTAAACACTGGAATATGAAACATTTTAATGACCATTTATGCAGATATTTTATTCAAAAAGGAAAAATATTCGTTTCAAACGTTTTCTAAAATAGTTGGTCATTCTTTAGAATCTGCTCAAAAATTCTCATTACATATATTTTAACGTTGAACCATGGAATTTTAAATTTAATCTAAAAAAGAAACATGCAAATAGAACTTTCATTTGTCAAATATAACGCCCCTGCGGATGAAAAACCTTATTTTTTTAATGTTTTTTTTTTTTCTTCAGGTATCTATATATGTAGGTATATATTTATTATGAATAGAAATATTATTTCTATTATTATGCCGTAAGCTAAGAAAGGGTTGTTTTCTCCGTCTGTGTCGATATTTATTAGGCAGATAATTTTCGAAACTACTGGACTAATTGTTGTCAAATTTATTTTAAGAATTTCGTGTAAATGGTAAAACGCTAACCAAAATATATCTAATCATCCTCGCTAAGAACGTGAACTTATCACCTCAAAATTTTGCATAACAAATGTTATTACTATAATTATATAATAACATCCTTCTACTGCGGTTTATGAATCCGTCTTGATTTTTCTCTCTATTTGTCCGCTTATTCCGCAAGATTTTCAAGAAAATTTGGGAATACAAAACTGTTACTAGTACATAATACTACACTCCACCTATCCAGATTGATGTGTTCTTGCTAAAATATGACGTCATCAAAAATTTTGTAACGGGAAAAAACTTACTTGAACATCTTTATCTTCCCTTTAACACTACACACAATACTTTGATATTGGTATAAAATGTGATTATGCATTTGGATTTTTTGCGAAAATTTGGATGCAGAGACCTACTTTTTCATACGCTAGGGTCATTAAACGTCGATAAAACATGAAAGTGGCCATTTACTTAACTAATATATTATTAGAATGATCACAATTGTATTTATCTATATCTCTGAAAAATGTATGCATCATCAAGTACTGTTTATTAAATAATGCGCTGAAATGAACTATCTATATTTTAGAATAATGTTTTCACTTTTGTCTGAAAGGATCCCGCTAACTGTTTCTGTTGTTTTAAAAACATCCATTTAGTATCCTGGAAATTCATTAAACAGCGTCACGATAGCTTTAAATCACAATTTTTAAAATCAAAATGTTTATTTTTAGAAAAACTTAATAATTAATAAACAAATAGTTACCGAAAAATGCACTCAACGGTCTGAACAACTTCCTCTCTCTAATTATTGTGTGAGTGAAAATTTTTCCTTAGTTTAAATAACGCTGACGTCTCTAAATTCCAAAATCAAGATCGAATCAATCTGGAAATGTTTAATAGTAAAATGGATCGAGTGAGGACACCACATCTGAAAGAAGTTTGGATTTTAAACGCGACCATATATTTTTTGTGTTTACATTCATTTGACTTCATGTTCTCAACAAATACACTCGTATTGCATGAAAATTGCGCCCTGCAACTGATCCACGTATTCGATTACGCTAAATAAACCTTATTTACTTCCTTATCATCTGACAGAAACAGAATAAGGTTTTCCCACAATGTAAGTTGAATTTATTTACGTGCCCAGTCGTACGATACATATTTTTTACTTTTAAAAATTACTCTTACATATTATGTAAGAGTAATTCATTGTCTCAACGTACCTCAAGAAGTAACTTAACCGTATTTTACGCATTTGTTTGTAGGTAATGTTTATTTAAATATGTTTAAGTAATCATAAATTAATTAGTTAATGATAAAGCTTTTGATACTAACACCGCTAATTGCTATTAACTTTGGAAACTAAAATACAGTTGCCCAAATTTAGCATTCAAGGAGCTTTTAAATAAAGTATCAGTCATACATTTTTTAACAAGTTAGCGTCCAACCCCATGTTAAAATCTGGAAACTCGATATTAAAAGTTGACCTGATTAAGATTGCGTACAAAAATATTCTTCCAATCAAAGACTAACTTGGATGAGGTAGATAGAGGTAGATATTGTACTACAATATCCACCATTAATGATTTTTACATTTTACGTCAGTATCTAAAGATGAATCTCTTTTACGAGTCCATAGTTATTTTTAGCAGAAAAATAAAATATTGTTTTTTCGTGCAAGTATCTATGTATAACACTCAGAAATATATATAGCAAAGAAAAATAATTTTGCAATTTCATATTATTTATCTTTTTTCCTATACTCTGGAATCATCGATTTATCTTTTTGTACGTATAGTAACCACGCATCTTTCTTTTTATTAGTAAAATGTCAGTGAACGATAGGATTGTTTATAGAGCGTAAAATATGAAACTAATAAGTCTATTAATCGGCAATAAAAACTACGGAACAATAATTTTCAGAGTATGTATTATGATAATAGGATCGCTATATTCACTTTGTCTAAAATATTACACATTTATATGTTTTTTAATTAAATAAATTATTATTTCCATACATTCGCAGTTACAATATGTATCGTAAAAAAAAATTCTTCACAAGTGTTAAAAATGTTTAAAAATGCTATTCAGAACATCTGGAACAATTGTTGTGGCAAAACTGAAATAAACGTATTGATTTCATTCGTTTAAATTCAAACAATGGTTTAGTCTGAAAAAATGACAGCATAGTTGTGAAAACGCGCCAACATGACAGTATGTTGAAGTTTTCCAGTGTTCCAGAGATAATAACGTGTTCGAGTTAGACTATACATATTAAATTGATATATTCATTTGCACAACAAAGCTGATGAACTTATTTTTCATTGTGCTCAAAAGTGAGGGAAATTAAGTGTTAACAACTTTATAAATTTATTCCTGAATGCCTCGATACGGTGAAACTTTAACTTTAAACTTCATTCAGCGAAGTAACGGCATATTATATAATTTATGCTTTTTCGAAAAAAAAAAGTATCAATTCTATCTGTGTCAAATCATGTAAAGTAAATACCTTTTTAAGAACTGTTTTCTACTTAAAGAAAAAAATAAGTGGCATTATTTTCAGTACCAGTATTTATTTAAAAAGAATAGTTTGCAAACATTCAACTTTCTCTTTCACTTCTCTACCATAAGTTAATAAAATATTATAATAGGGTCCATCCGGGGAATTTTTATTAAGTGAATAATTTCCGAAACAACCGGAGCAATTGTTGTCAAATTTTGTATGTATGTTACAACGATCGTGAAGATGGTGAAACGCTAACCAAAATTTATATAATCACCAAAAACCAATAATAGCCTCAAAATTTTGCATGGTCGATGCTATTTAAATTTTATAAAATAACATAATTCTGTACTTGTACTTTATGGATCCGCCTGGATTTTTTACAATAGATATCTACATTTTCCAAAAAAGAATCAAAATGTTACAATATTTCATGATAAATAGTTCAGCACGCGCTAATAACGTGAAAGTGGTGGGTTTGACCCCAACATGGGTCACTTTTTTTACACTACTGTGACTGTAGATATATATGTATATGTAAGTATATATCTTTACTAATTAACAAAATTAACGTCCTAATTTGGAATATTCCATTAGACATGTGATTCTTTTACTTTGACTTATATGTTTTATGAAATTAACAATAACGCATTGAGATTGTTTTGTTTAAACCTGAAAATACATTCGTCTTCAAGTTTATTTTAAAACACTTAGCACGGTAGCCGAATTTAATTTAACGAACAATTTTAATAAGACGAGAACAGTACATTTTTTCAAGAAAGTTCAGGAAATATCTTTCAACTACGATGAAGAAATTTACACCTGAAACGAACACTAGATAAAAAATCATTTAATTAAAATCTTTTCCCTTTGATGTGGTGCTTACCTTACTCACACAAAAAACAAAGCCAAGCTATTTAAATTATTGCAGCTCGAATAAACATTTTTAAAATTCTCGTTTTCTTTTTTCGTTAGTTTTCTGACATCGGATTATCTACAAAGCAAATCCGTTGCCACTAGCTGCCTACAGTGAAACATTATACACACATAAACATACAAACAATTGAAAAAATGGTTGTAGAGTGCATTTATCAACCTTATGTACATAGTATCTTATTTTTTGTATACTTAAACGAAGTAAACTCAAAAGGATTAGCATTTCCATATTCGCGCCATTTTTTGCATACTTTAAGCAGCGCCCCCACACAGTTACCTTTGGAAATTGTGGAAAACGGAAACAAAACTCTACCATTGCGCCTGTTGACTTCGCCGAGGTAAGTTGTGGCAATTTGATTATCTTGAAAATTATAAACAATCCTTAATAAATATGTACTAAAGTCACGTTTTTAGAACATTTTAAATAAACTAGAAAACATTTATGTGAATAGTTTCATTGAAAAAATGTTTTCTTTTAAGTTTTAGTTGTTGAGGTTATGTAAATTGTTGATCGTTTTTATAATATTTTTAATGAGGGAGATGATTTTAATTTTTTTATTCTTATTGTTTTAGTTCTTAAATTCAATCTGAGTCCCTACACACTACACGATGGGTAGGGAGGACAAGGCAACCTGGAAGTCCAACTACTTCAGCAAACTAGTTGTAAGTATTGCTCTATTTATATTCAAGTTATCAACACAAATTTTAAAAAATGATGATATTTTTCGTCTCTTAAGAAGCCCCATAACCATACTAGAGCTAGAAATAGCAGAACCCACTAGTATGCGGGGATACAATGTGGACACACTTCCCTGATTAAAGTTAAATCACAAACAATTTTTTCAATTTAGTTTCCAAGTTTCTGAACACTATATTTTTCAGCAATTACTTGAAGACTACCCAAAATGTTTCATTGTTGGCGCTGACAATGTCGGCTCTAAGCAGATGCAACAAATCCGCATTTCCCTCAGAGGCTCCGCCGTCGTCCTCATGGGCAAGAACACCATGATGCGTAAAGCCATCAAGGGTCATTGTGAACGCAATCCAGCCCTTGAAAAACTCTTGCCTAAAATCAAAGGCAACGTAGGCTTCGTTTTCACCCGTGGAGATCTGGTGGAAGTCCGCGATAAGCTTCTTGAAAACAAAGTCAGAGCACCTGCTCGCGCTGGCGCCATCGCCCCATTACCCGTCATAATCCCAGCCCAGAACACCGGTCTGGGTCCTGAAAAAACATCCTTCTTCCAAGCCCTTTCAATCCCAACTAAAATCTCCAAGGGTACTATTGAAATCATCAACGATGTGCACATTTTGAAACCAGGGGATAAAGTAGGAGCTTCTGAAGCCACTTTGTTGAACATGTTGAACATCTCGCCATTTTCCTACGGTTTGGTTGTCGAACAAGTATATGATTCTGGCACTATCTTTGCGCCAGCTATTTTGGATATCAAACCTGAGGATTTGAGGGAGAAGTTCTTGGCTGGGGTCGCAAATGTGGCTTCAGTTTGTTTGGCTGTTGGATATCCAACTATCGCGTCTGCGCCTCACAGCATTGCCAATGGATTCAAGAATCTTTTGGCTATTGCTGCTGTCACTGAGGTTGAATTCAAGGAAGCAGCTACCATCAAGGAGTTTATTAAGGTATGTTTTTGTTACAAGTTCATATGAATCAAATATTAATTGAAATTGTCTAGGATCCCAGCAAATTTGCTGCTGTCGCTGCTCCTGCGGCGGCTGCACCAGCTGAAACCACTCCTGCTGCCGCTCCTAAAGAGGAGAAGGAGGAGTCAGAAAGCGAGGATGACGATATGGGATTCGGTCTCTTTGACTAAGCTTATAAATAACATTTTGTTTGCATCTGTGTAAAGCCAGACCCAAATAAATGAAACAGAATTAAGTGGTTATTATTATTTATTTGAACGTGGATGTGCGCTGTATTCCTTGAAGGAGAGACTAACTAGAATAAAATATAAGTATCGTTATAAAAATAGATAGATAATCTGGCTCCACTCTCCATAGATAATCAAATGGTCGTCAATTTAAAAGATCAAAATTGCGACGATCAAAGACAAAGTTTCAAGAATCCATGTCAGTCTTTGATCGTATTTTTATTGCTCCCTTGATTAAAGTGTCTTGTTTTTTAGTCCACTGATGTATTAAAATCAAAAATTTACTCAATAGATAAATTTTTATTTTTTGTTCTACATGTATGTACATTATCGTAAGTATGATCTGACATCTCAAAATATTTTTCAGTGTCAAAACAAAATTTTACTACTATCACTTCGTTATTCTTCCACTCATCATTCGTCTCAAGTTATTTAGACAGAACTTCCCTCTTAAATGGAGCACATGCAATTAAACAAGCCCAGTTTCTTGGATAAATTGCTAAAGTTGATTTAACAGATTTTATTTTTATGACGGTCCCCTATATGTCAAAATAAAAAACATGAGTGAATTAATAAACCACACATCAGTGGCGGCTGGTGGGTCAAAATTTCGGGTCGGCCAAATATTTTGAGTCTACACCTTGGTGTTATATATTTTCGTAATGTATGGCTGCTACTCATTAACCACTGACATTTTACGTGCCAGGATGTACAAAACATCTCAAATGTTTCGACCTGTTAAAATAATTTTTTATAGGAAATTGACAATGTCAGTTTGATTCCAAATACTATTAATCCTTAATTCTACTTGTTCTGCTTTATCATTAATTGAGAACCACCGAAAACATTATTTTTACTGAGTTCCGCGTCGACCGGCGGCTATACGGCTTGCCGACCCCGGACATCCACAATTAAATAATAATAATTAAATAATGACATGCAGTTAAAAAATATAAAAAAAGTAATAATAAAAGTACCAACTGTTAACTATCTTCATTTACATTTATTTATTTTTAATGTATATGACAAATTGTCAAATAAATTAATTGAATAATTGAAAAATTAAAATGATTTAAAACGTTAAATTCGTTTCTGAAATATCTGAAAACGCTTAGATGCTAAAAATACAGAAAAAGCGCATTTATGTTGTAGCTAAGTTATGTACGAAAAATAAAATTTTAGATAATTTAATGTAATTTTTTTCGTTTATTATTCATACACAGAAAAATGTATTAAATCGACAATTATTATTTAAAAAAAAATAGTATGCACTGAAGAACATCGAAGCCGTTATTGTTTTGTAATTTGGTTAGCTATCTTAAATATTAAGCGTTTTAAAAACTAAATTCGCGTTGCTGGGTACGGCGAAGGAGGATTTCGCCGGACCTGGCACAACATACGTTCCGCCAGGTCTTTGTCTACTACAGTGTACTAGACAAAGAGAACGATGAAACCGTAAGCTGCTACGAAGTCGAAACATCGAGCATAACGCATTCCTGGGTACGGCTTGCCGAAATCTCGCCGGCAAAGCGTGTTTATCAGCATTTAAAATTAGCAACAAATGCTTTATTTTGTACCTACAATATAATAAAATATATTTTTAATATATATGATCTATCCTAACGTACATTCAAACTTTATTTCTTTTTTTATTTTCTAATTTCAACGCTTACTAAGTATTTTAAAATGACTGGTACGGCGTGGCCGACCCTGCCGCCCCTGCCACACATACTGATTATACATTGTAAATAAGATTTACTCAGCACACTTTGAGGCAACGTCTTCAAATTTCTGGTAGGGATGACCAGCTAAATTTTAGTTAGCAATCATTCAGTCTGATGGTAACCTCAAAACATGCGAAAAATTGCGAGCAGTTGGTTCAGTAGTTTCTAAAATAAATTGTACAATTTGCAATAAAACAATGAACAAAAACTCCCTTAAAATCCCTTTTGCTCTGGGGCAAAAATATGAGATGAAAACAGCTCCAGTGTATACGAAATGCCTGTTGGGGTGATTCCAGTGGAAAAATGCGACGTAATGTAACGTATAATTAACTGTTTAAAGAGAAAACAGAAATATGAAAGTGCGTTACTTAACATAAGTAACAGGAATGAGCCAAGTTGGGTTAAGTTAAGGAATGGAATTTAGTGACTCAGAGAAACACCTCGGATCGAAAAATCAGTGTAGTAGAGGTAACTATGAAGGCTTATTCCTGTCAGTTATACACAAGAAATACTCAACCATTATCACTTTTACAAAAATTCAATACCTATTTATTATTTATTCATCCCATATGTATTTTATAAGTCATAAAGACCATACAGATAGCTACAATTCTTAAGTATGACTGTCTGAAATTACTGAACTCGTGCGGTTTGCTTTTCAGAGGTGAATAAGGCACATTGTTTTAAACCACTGCATTTAAAAACATGACGGCGAATCAAATGAATCTCATGTGGTAAAGAAAAAAATAGTCGAAATATTTTTATTAAAAACTCAATGATTTTATAAACATCTTTTATAAAACAACATAAATGCTCTCTTTTAAATACTGTCCTCTTCTATCATAAAAACACTACACTGCTCAATATTTTTCAAAATGTATTTAAATTCTACATAATTAAAAAAATTGCAAAAGTTAACATTTAAAAAAATATAATGTGATCAAAGCTATATTAAGTACGAATCGTTAACAAAATTTACCATTGCCAGTGCTATTACCTGCTAGTACTAACAATTTTTTGATAAAGCTGTAGGTATATTTTCTTTTGTTTTTGACATTGTAGAATAGCCCAACAACTCTGGACAAGACATTTCTCCCTTTTCAATGGCACAAATTGTTTTCAATAGATCATAGTTGATTTTTTCTGACACTTTTGAGTCCAACCTGTAAAAACACAAATTAATAAATTAAATTGAAACTAAAAAACAACAACCCACTTGTATTCAGGATGTTCTGTCACAAATTTTCTAATCCAAGACGCGGTAGTAAAAATTTCCCCAGACGCTCTACGTTGTATAAACTTCAAATACTGCTGTATTGTACAGTGTGTATCTGCATCAACATCCATTCCACTAAGATAAGTATTAATCAAAGGGATCAAACCTGGAAAGTCGCCTTCCTGTAAATAATATCCTCATCCAATTAAAATCAAATGCATGTTCAAATAAATACCTTCCCGTTTATTATTTCATCAACAGTCATACAATCATAAACTTCACAATCCTTTGGTTCACAATTAGTTGCACCTTTCTTACAACACTCATTGGCTTCTGGCGGGCTAATGTGAGTGGTGATGTCTTTCCTAAACCAAAACTTTCGTTCTTTACAAGCGTTTCGTTGCTGAGCGTTCTGCATATTTTCGTCGACCTTTAAAACCATCCTTTGTTACTGACTTCACTTCATAGACAATTTTACTCACTTTACTGATAGGTATCAAAAAGTCCAAATTATAGGACAAAATAACTCGAGTTAATAACACAACAAAACAAACAATGGCAGCATTCTCGAAGTCGGTAATTTGGACTTCACATGGTCTAAACTCAACTCTCCAACCAATGGTAGAATTTGGTGGTGGTGGCTTGAACCTCATAGTTTGCCAATTCGTTGATTGTATATTCTTAAAATAACACGAACTTATTTTTCTAAAAAACTAAAACTATTGGCAACACACCTCAAAATGATCCGTATCTTCTTCATCATTTTGGTGAACCTTCTCTGAAAACAGAGACACCGTATCTCTTATAAAAAGATGGGCTACATGTTGTGCCAGAAGATGATCTATATCGTTGTCAATTAGTTGTTGGTATATTTTAGGATCATAGGTCAATGGCACGTCGTTGAATTTTTCTCCTTGCGGAGACAAATACGAATCTATGGAATCATACCGAGACTTCTTTATCACAAATTTGTTGTTTTTGAGGGATTCCAGGCCACGTTCTTCCTTCGTACGACAATCTACAGAACATGAAATGACGTTCCATCGGCAATCCACATCGGTAATGCAGCCACGGTGAAGGGGTGACGCCGCTGTTAGTGCTAACTGTAAAAAACGCCTGTAAATATTTACAGTTTCATAAGGTTACAGCATTACCATAATTGGGCAGAGAGGAGTTAATTGATCATATAAGGTTCTAGCTTCGGTTATATTGCACGCTTGAAAAGTCAACTGTAAACAGCAGCACCCCATCCCAAAACCCATCGCATCCATATAAACGTGATCGGGTAAAGCGGCTGTAGAGAATTTGTGGGAATCATCCACAGGTATTTTTGTATTTTCGTCTCTATATACTGAAATTCGTCCGTAAAATATGGTAAAAATATCACGGATGCAATTACCTGGTAGATTGATGGCAACTTTTTCGCCTCTTCTTTGCCGAATGTTCCTTGATAAAGTTTTGAATCGAGGATGTCCTGGGAAAATCGCATCATCTGGGAAAAACAGTGAACGGGTGGCGCCCTCATTTGGGGTTGGTTTTGACGGAGGGTCCGTAAAATTTTCACATCCCAACCTTAAAAGATGCATCATTTTTAAATCATTGTAAAATAAATGCTAACTATACAATGAAGTTATAGAATATTAACCTTGTATTATTTGTTGTACGTAAAAGTCAACACTCAAGCCGTTATTGTTTATTATTCGCATAAACAATATTACCATTTGCGTGTTGATGCTTATGTAAACCTGCGATAACAAAATTTGTGGTTATTTCCCAGGTATAATTATATTACATACCGAGGTAGAAAGTGTTTCATTACAGCCGAGGGCTGTAATGAAAACGTGTACCGAGGAAATGTATACTGTTTTATTCACAATCAGTTACATGGTTCTAGACAACTAGCAAACAATGAAAATGTATGTAAAGTAGATATTGACAATAGTTTAACACTGATATTTATAAATAACTTAAGCACAGCATGTGAATATAACTGTGACATTTCAAAAGCTGCGAAATTGGTAGCATATTTGAACATAAAATATTTGCTATAACTCAAAAACTAAGCGACATCGACAGATTTCTGAGAGATGCACCAACTGAGTTTCTTCCTCAAAAGGTAAAACTGTAGATGTCAATCTGCGTATGTAATTATTTTTAGTTTTAAGTTTCACTGATTATTTTATATTCTAATGACTTCATTGTATTTTTTTTGCCAACAATACAACGCTCCTTAACTCATAAAACAACCTACTGCTCAAATGAGCACACAATGAGCAATAAACATAATATACATAATAAATATATAATACCATAAAAATCCAATATTAAATTAAAACTAAATCGTGAGGTCATTTTGAAACGTATAATCGTACATTAATCCACACCACAAAATTGGTGCAACTTTCAAGACGCAAAGGCTAAATGTGGTAATGTTGGTGGTTTAAGTTTTTACTAATTTCACTATTAAACCTATTTCCATTCTCGCGACTTTTACGACTAAACAGGTAATTATTATAATACACTATTCAAGGTTAAAAAGCACAAAATGGTAATTAACCAATCTGTAAAACGACTCTTTTATTAATGACACCGGTGTCAATTCTTGTTTTAAGTTTTACGGTACTGTTCACCAAATTTACACTTTTTTGGCACTAGGATTAGCTTTGATAACCTTATTATACCATATCTGCAACAACTTTTTCTCTCGTCGACTCAAGTAGACTTTCGTATCAGTTACCAGTGCGATAACGTCATCATTTCCTTGTAATGAAACGGAGTTTAAATTAAAAAAAAAATGGTCTAAAGTTATTTCAACAGAACTTCTGTTGCCCCTGAAATACAATTTATCTATTTTCGAACAAAAATTATAAAACATAATTTTTCGAATTTTATTTTTTTTATAACCCCAATAAGTTAAAATAATGTGTGTAGTAAAGTAAAGGTAGGTAAGCTATTCGCATGTTTCAAGTAAGATTCTCCCTTCCAAACCGTTGTGACGTCATCAACAATCTAGTGAGCACACGTATATAGGTGAACCATTCTTGATTTAATCAATAAAATAATCATTAATTTTTCGAGTCATTCTGTATAAGCAATTCTAAATAAGGTGTCACTCACAATAAAAGTTACAATAATAACAAATAAAATCAAAGCAAATTCATAAACCACAAGTACAGGTTTATCTTATTTTATAACATTTATTTTCCTATTTTGATTTTATAAAAAGTCATAGGCGTAAATGGATTAAAATGTCAAAACATTTGTCACGTATTGGTATTATCTTAAACTTAAACACCACTATTATGTCATTTTAATTTTAACATAAAATACTCGTTTACATTCCAAAAAATATTTAATTTGACCAACCGAGATAAATGAAAGCATGAACTATTCCTTAGTCCCAATTGTACTAAGCAAATTGTTGGTAAAGATGATTAAACAAGTTTTGGTTACCGTTTTCCCATCATATCAATTATATTTTGTCTTTTTTTCTTAATATACTTAGTATTCTTTGAACAACACGATACTCACTTTTAATTTCTTGTAAAGAAATAAGTATTTTGTAGTTAAGCTCCGCTCCTTGGTTCACGGCAAATAAAAAAAATCATCACAATTGAGATAGGACGGGTGGGCGGGTTTACATTTTGCCTTTTTGTTTTAATATGTGTAGACTTCTTTTCACAACATGAAACTTAAGACATGTTTAAAATGGAAAATTTGTATGAGGAAATTTCGATTTTGCAATAGGCTCCAAATATATATTTGAAGTCTTTGGCTCCACCCCATAATTGTAAAATCCATGTTTCCTTGCAAAAACCATTTTAACCATGTTTTAAGTTTCTTGTGATGAAAAGATGTCTGTGTATATTAAGAATATATACATATATAACCCCCGCCCACCCGCCCTATCTCAATTCGGATGATTTTTTTTTATTCATCATAAGCCGAGGGGAGGAGCTTAATTGTAAAATCCTTATTTTTCTACGAGAAATTACCATACGAAAATGTGCTTAAATAATCGTGTCATACAAGGAAAACTAAATGTATTAATTAATTAATTCTGAAGAAACTCTAACTAAAAAAATGTTGAGTATACTTTTTTGCCTTTTTTCTTAATATATATAGTATTCTTTGAACACGATACTCAAAAATATGGTCTAATTTTTTGTAAAGAAGTAAGTATTTTGCAGTTAATCTACGCCCCTTTGGCTCACGACGAATAAAAAAATCATTACAATAGAGATAGGGCGGGTGGGCGGGCTTACATTTTCCCTTTATGTTTTAATATGTGTAGACTTCTTTTCACAAATGTGAAACTTAAAACATTTTTAAAATGGAAAATAAGGAAATATCGACATTGCAATTACGCTCGACCTCATAATTGCAAAACCCATATTTCCTTGCACAAACCATTATAACCAAGTTTCTTGTTATGAAAAGCTGGCTATAATATTAAGAAAAAAAGGCAAAACATAAATTCCTAACATACATATAAAATTGAACAGCAATGCATCCGGTAGTTTTGGATTTTTGGTAGTGATTTGTCTAATAAAAATTGATAGACAGATCGAAACTCGTACTCTTGGCGTCATTAAACTTCGAGAAAACATGATGAACTCTTATCACAGTTTACGCGCGGAAAGTACAAACATTCGATAAGGATAGGATTCGAACCCACACGGGTGCCAGAACCCAAGTCCAACAATTGGCCACACTTGAAAAATATTGCACCAAAAAACTTTTGTAATGTACTTAATTGTGATAAGAATTAAGGCAGATTAATAAACTACGAGTACAGGATCGTATTACATTATAAAATTTAGACAACCTTTACTACGCAAAATGATAAGAGGTCATGAAATGTCAAGAAAACAGTCACCCGATGGGCCCTATTATAACACTTCCTTGCCTTACGCTCGGGAAGTAAAAAGCAAAAAAATGACATCCTATTTATTTTTTAACAGATGTGTTTTGACACCTTATAATTTGTCTACGAGATCCAACTTTTTTTTTAATAATTCCCTATACATTTCTTTAGTGATTCTTGTAAGCTTGTTTGTCTGAATTCATTAATGTATCATAAATATTTTAATCACCAAAACTCCGTCACTGCCTTTAATTCAAACGCATTAAGTTCCAAAAACACACTTTTAAAGCGCAAGGCTGTGCCTGTATTTCTAGTGAGTTTCCCATTTGAAAATGTCCTGATAGACATGTCAGCAAGGACATGTATGCCAATTCCGACACGTGCAATGTAATACTAATAATATGACAATATGGTGTACCGTTCTTGATTTGATCAATAAAAAAATATAGAGAACGTGCGCGATGTTTGCGTTACAAGTCCGAAGTCGCACACTTAAACAATGAGCTGACGACGAATAACCTTGTTCGAGCCCCTCTTATACTAATGTCAAAGGTTGCTAGTTTCGATTTTTGCGAAAATTTGAATATCTCGGTGAAAATCTCAAGGCGGGTTCATAAACAATAAGTATAAGAATATGTTATTTTATAAAATTTAAATCCTATTTACTATAAAACATTTTGAGCGGACGTCATCACACTGTTGGTGAGGATGAGTACGCAAATTTTACGATATTCCTAATGTACATATAAAATATGTCAATAGTCCGGTAGTTTCGAAGATTAGCTGTCTAATAAAAATTGACACAGCAAACAGATAGACGCAAACGAAAGACCTATTTTTTCGTACTCTAGGGGCCATGAAACGTCGAGAAAACAATGAAAGTAGCCAGTCGTCCGATGGATCTTACAATTTTCTTAGCTTACGCTCCGGAAGAAAAAATGTCGTTACCTTTCTGGTGGACATGAATAAATAAATTTTACTTACTATTGTGTTATCTTCTATATGTTATATGTATTATATAAGGTAAAGTATAAAATGTTTCAGCATGTTGCATCATATATTTAAAGTGAGTCTTACTTGGCAAAATTTTGCAATGACGTCATCGACTTTTTCTGGAAGATATGAGTTGGCAAATTTTAGTAAGCCTTTGTTTTACTATCTCTTGGTAATTTGAATAGACACTGGAAATTTCCGAATCATCGGTATATTTTTAGCAAATGGACGATCGGAAACCTGCATTTTAGCATTCTACGACTTGTAGAACACAAAATCATCAGATTAAACATTCGAAAAAATGACCTTGGTATCGCACTTCACCAGCTATCAATCGAGATGTAAAATCTAATGATAAAGAAACATGTCTTTCTTATACATCTTAAGTGGGACTTATTCAATAAAATTTGATGACTAAAGAAAAATTTTGTCAGTTGTCTGTAATCAGAATCACTAAATCAAGGTTAGTGTTTTTATGGAAAAATTGAAGCAGTTGGTTATGTTGTTTCTTAGATAAGTTGGAAATTTTGAATTAACTCCTGTATGTTAAAAAATAAAAATTAGAGTGTCATTAATGATTTGAAACATCCTACATAAACAACTACGTAATAAGGTTGTTCTGAAAGTTGATACACACATTGCCACAAAATTGATATTTTTCAGTGTGTATGCAAACTGCAATAATCAACAATGGACTGAATCCATACCATATGTTGTTCTAGGAAAAGAAATACTCAACATATGAGAACAACTAATACAACAATTTGGAATAGTAACAGAAACAATTCTAGCACCGATGAAGGTTCAATAAATGGTAACACTATAAAAATGGCGATACCAGCAAACATAAATAAATCCACATTCTTCTAATGGCAATAGGTCAAAATACACTAAAATATTTACATAATTTTCGCTTGAATACATAATATTAAATTTAAAACACAAAAATTTTACAAACTTGTTTTCAATACTTTCGATTTGATATAAACAGAGTAAAATCGAGACAAAATAATGGTTCAATATCGTGAATTTGATCTAATCAAAGAATTGAAAAGTCGAGTTTAAGAGTCAATGGTGGCAATGAATAAAAAAAAATTATTTACTATTCTGTTATCTATATTATATCTTACATAGTGTAAAGCATAAAACGTCAAGCAACATGTTGCATTATATATTTAAAGTGAGCCTTACTTGGCAAAATTTTGAAATGACATCATCGACTTTTCTGGAAGGGATGAAGTGGCCTTTGTTTTGTTAGATATTGTTAATTTAGTGATCCCGTCGAACAACAAATGTACTCATCGACCAAAATATGGAATATTTAGATTTAACGTACGTCCCTATACCGCTATGATCGTGAATTCTTACCTCGATGAGGTTCAAATTGAAAGATTGGTTTGACCACCGTATAGCCCAGATTTAAAACCGATCGAGCATTTGTGGAACATTTATGAAAATTTCAAAATATTCCATATTTTTGTCCAAGGTGTGCCGTGCAGAATATCCACGTTTTGCCTGTAAGTTGGAAACACAGTTTCACAACTGGAGCAAATTCATCGTACATGCGAATTAGAAAATTTTACATAACCATTTTAATAGCGCATAAATTAGCCCAAATATAATTTTCTTAAGTACTAAAAATTTGTTCCGTGTATCACCAATTACATTAAACATGCAATGTCGTGACACATCAGTTATCCAACACCACAAATATGAATGAATACTTTATAGTTCGTTTACTAAATTTCACCCAAAACAAATGGATATTATCCACTCAGAAAATAAACTAATTATAATATCAATCGTCCTTCATTAAATCTTTCAGTCGATCATAAATATAAGTAGACAATTTTAGGATTTGCCATTTCCCATGAAAATGCAGTACAAAACAAAAACAAATGCATTTGCACTTAATTACATTTTCACGTGTCATTGTGATATTATTAAAGTCAATTAGCTTCATGACAACATTTGAAAATAATTACCAGATACTTCCACATTATCTAAATGATTTTCCAATAGGGCAACCGTCAAGGTAAAACTCAAATACCCATGTTTATTTAATGATAACTGATAATAATAAGCACTTTAAAAGCCAACGGATCTGCAACCGAAAATCTGTCTTTGATAAATTTGATTTTGCATAGCATGCTATCGTAATAAATATAATATAAAACGCAGTTCATTTTTCTCTTTACGACGCCATTTACAATCTTCGGTAAAGGTTAACTAAGATCAAGTTTTTTTTTTAAATCGAACTTTTTTTTAATTATGTACAACACGTAATCTAAATGGTAGTTGAATCATTCTGTATGAGTTATTTATATAGGAATACATAATATTTATCTAAATATAGCTTATATACAAAAGCACGTAAAATAGAGGGAAACATTTAATTGGTAAAGTAAAATTAGGAAACGTCAGTTGGCAAGCCTCAATGATTACATCATCAATTATTCTGTGCCACATTTTAATATACTGTTTATTCATGTATGAAACAATTATTTCTTTGCACGAATATCTCTTTTTTTTAATTACATCAATTAAATCAGTAAGAATATTTTAGATCTTTTACTAATACATATATTAGATAATGAAAAAATATAAGAGTTGACGTGCCTGAACTTGTTGGATTAATTTTAGATTCTTATAAATTAAATGGTCACTTAATACACTCAGATCAATATGGAATGAAACTTTAAGTAACCATGATCGACAAAACATTAAAAATTAAATTTTTACATGATTATGCACTTTTTGAACTGTCATTGCCTCATAAATGTTCTATTTTATCAAATTATCACCAATGTTCACATCATGATTAATAATTTACTACAACTGTGCTAACAATTACAACAATACGCCAAAGTAAACAATTAAGTTAGTTTAGTACATTTAAAAGCTACTACGAAGTATACCACAATCCTGAACGTTTCTCATTGTTATTGAAAAAATCAATATCTTTTAGCATCACAATATGTTACTATGAAAACCATGTAAGTTATTGATTTAAATATTTATGCTGAATCACAACAAACATAAAAAATTTGACCCACAAAAACTCTTCAATAAAATTTTGCTGGGTCATACTTCTTGGAAATTTGATCGCCAGATTGATGTTATGACAGTGCAAAAAGTAATCTACAAATTAAAAGGAAAACCACACACACACATGAAACGATAAATTCAAAAATTATGTAAAACAATGTATTACTTCTTCAATTACCTTGGAAAACTAGTCAAAGACATCAAGCATTCATCAGGTTTTAAAAGCTGTGTAGCTTCCTCTCTCCTGTGTTTCATATTTGCCTCAACAATATTGAAGTGGGCCAATAATCCTCCATAAGGTTTTCCAGGTGTCCCTTCAATCATGTACGCCCCATATTCCGGTCGCCACAAGGACTTTACTCCTGTGGGGTCTTCAAGTTCTTTTTTGTTTAATTCAGTTAGAATTTCTTGAGCTCTCAGACTTACTTTAGCTTGTCTCTTTTCATTGTCAAATTTCACTATAATATATTCCACTTCATCGCCCCATTTCAGTATATCTCCCTGGCGGTCTCGTAAACGTTTATACAAATTTATAAATTGAATAATTCCATGTTGACGCACGTGTTCGGCTAACTCTTTTGTTTCTTCCCAGGATAAAGGGCTGCCTTCAGTCAACAAACCCATATTACTAGCTGATTACTTAAGTTTCTTAAAATTGTCACTTCAACACACTTGCAAAAATGAAAACCTTGAAGTATAAAACTGGAGAATGTATAACTCTTGCGGCAACTGGATCTTTTGATTATATTATTTTTTTCCCGGAATTTGGTACAATAAATAGAAAAACTCACTTGTAAAATCAAATTTAAACTGAGACTGACAGACGAAATCTACGCCAATATATAAAATGAGGTTGCACACTGTTACACAATTTGATAAGATGCAGATAAGTGAGAAACTATATCTAATCTAAGCTACTCCTTCGTTCAAATTCTGCACTAACATTTTATTACACACATCATTTGGCCACTAGGTTGACAGAACGGTGTGACGTGCGTGGCCTTGAAAAACGCCGAAGGACGTGTCTAACATAACATCTGGAAATAAAGACAGGAATTGCAGCAAGTCGCGGCCTCTTGTTGCGTTATGTAGTACTGTTTTTGATGATAAAAGCGTTTTCTCTCTGGTTTTCTCCCGCTGGGTCGGTCACCTACAGTGTCCACCCACAATGAAAGTAAAATTTTTCAAAAATATACCAGGTGATTTCGTTCATTCGCATCAATTTATTTCAAAAACTACGAATACAATACTTCATCCAAACTGGAAAGCTGCATGATTTGCAAATCTACCACTTTACTCTCTCATGCAAAGAAAAATTATTATAACTAGTCCATTTCTCCAGAAGTAACAATCAGTTCTTTTTTTAATTCAATGAGCGCGCGTTCCTCGATATCTCATTATCATTAATTATTATTAAAGAAAGAAAAAGTCAACCACCAAAATTGTACGTGAGAACGTGAGTATACAACGTAGTTTCTACGACTGACTATTCAATTTTTTAACACACACTAAAATATCGGAAGAAAGAGAACAAAAAAAAAATAGAATAAACTGAAGTAATAAAATGTAGAGTGTTTAAAAAAAATGAGATATGAACAACAAAGAGCATACATGCATTTGTTTATCTATCGACACAACAATATGACAACGCCATGGAAGTGTAATATTATTTTATTATTAATATTATTCTACCTCTATGGACAACGCAAATGATAAAAGTAACCATATTGCCATTTTTAAAGAAATTCAAGAAAACTAAGATAACGTGGCAATGCCATATCGAAATTTCAAAAACAATAGATGATTGTAAAACCTAATAAGAGACCAATTATGGCATAAAAATTAATAGGGTCAAATTAAGAAAACTTAATTTCGCAGTGAGACCTTAAACAGAACATTCGGTATTGATCTATCTGATAAAGTTTTTCTTCTCTTTATAAAGGTGTAACAGAGCAAAGAACAAAATGTACTAAAACATTTTCACTTATATCCCTAGTGCATTGATTATTTCCGGAAATTTGTTCGAATGCATTTCAAAAACGTATTAATTAGCACGAGGGCAAATTTATTTTTTTTATTACGCATATGCAGGGTGAGTCACTATCTCCATCTTCCTTGATATCTCATTAATTATCAGAAATAGAAAAAAAGTTTGGGACTAAAGTTGTACAGTTATTCAAATAAAATACCCTATGTAGACTATGTACACTAATCATAGACTAATCGACAAATAAAACGGCCACCATGAAATATTTCGCAAAACCACTTTAAAAATTATTAATTTAACTTATAATTGTTATTTTAGAACCATTCATTTTTGATATAGGATGTACAAATTAGTTAACAAAAAGACACAAATAAATACAGAATTAAAAGTATTTAAGAAAGCAATCAGTTCAGAGTGGCAGGTTTTTTTGCCGTCAGTATATTTTTATAAACTCTGATTGATCTCTTCCTAAGCTTCAAAACAATAGTTTATTTTCGAAATTCCGAGGCAACGTTGGCAAGTTATTCCAGTTTTCTTGATTTTTTTAGCAATGGAAGGATTCATAAAAAAATCGCACTTGGGTTATTTTTAAAATCTTGGTTGAAATATTTTGTGCAGAAATAAATAAAAATACGCGCTTAATTGTGGTGTAAATAAAATTGGCTTTTAATATACAGAGTGCTTATAAAAAACTTAAATTATAACAATTTTCAAACAACAATACTCCAGAGATTTTTAAATAAAACACTTTGTATTTTGTTACTGCATTTTTTCTGTTTTTTGTTTTCTTTCTTTATTGTTAATACATTGTTTACATTTAAATCATTTAAAGTTGCTAGTTATTGAGATTTTTTACTTTTTTAAGGGACACAAGAAGAAATGTCTTCTTGTACCATGGGGACACCTACAATTAAAAAAAAAACAAAAAAAAGTGGAGTAAAGTGCATTAATAAATACAAGTGTTCTATTATAAAAAATGTGTAATATCGATATTTGAAAATGGTAAAGTTTATTTTTTTTATAAACACTTTGTATATTAAAATTTTATTTAATTGATACCATAATTTAGCGTTTATCTCTTCATAAAATATTGCAAAACAGATGTTAAAAATAACGTTATTACGATTTTTTGTGAACCCTTGCATTGCTAAAAAAATTTTTAAAAATTGGAATAACGTGGCAACGTTGCAACGGAATTTCAAAAATAAACTACTTTACAAAGCCTAGGCCTATTTATATCATGGCCTAGGCAAAAGTTAATAAGAATAAATAAAAATATGTAGGGTATTTTACTTAAATAATTTTATTATATAAAAATGAAAATGTATTATTTACTTTTATATTCAGAACTTTTTTATATTTGCTTACAACCGATTTCAGCTGCGATTAGCATGATAAGTATCTTGAGACTTTGATCACTCGGAAGCAAATTGCAAGTAGAAGAGGAGCGCAGAGAATTTTTATTAATTTTTATTTTTTATTTTTATAGCGAAGTGTAATTTTCCTTAGTGACAATAGTTGTTATTATAAAACCCTGAAAATGGCTAGCCGAAACCAGGCGTAACAAAATAGTAGAAGAGATTTTGAATTTAGAGTTTTTTATAAGAATTAAAGAGAACAAATATTACTAAAATACAAGCAACGTTATATTTCGAATCAAAACTACCTACATTTCAACAAAAAAATATTTTTAATAAATGCTTGCGATGACGTCATTAACTTTCTAGAGAGATAAATAAATAAGTAGGGATCATTATACTCTAATCGTTAATTCAATGTTTTTAAATTAAAATAAATCGTTTCGTAGATTCTATGAGAAACTGCTTTCAATTTGTTTTTACAATTTTTATTTTTTACGACAATCCGTATACGTAAGAAATATAAATAGATTACCAGAAATAAAGAACCATCCATATGCAAGTATAAATTAAAGCAATTTTACTTAAAAAAAATACGTCTTCCGGTTTTGGCAAGGATGAACTGTAATTAGCGATTTACTATGGTCACGATAACCTTGTTGCAGAATTTTGTTTTTTTTTCAACAACCTGTATGTATGCTTAAAGTCAAAAAAGGTGAATTAATAAGTCGCAGATATAGAAATGATACGTTAATTATTATTTTAGTTTATCTTAGTAACTCGAATTTTCACAACTAATTAATTACACAGCGATTATGTACAAACTAATACCGACTCCACTGGATTTCATTACACTCTACTTCTCCCACTGACTGCTCCCGACGGTGGTTCCCATTTAAAGAGCCACGCGGTCCTTCTCGAAACGCCTCACCCACCGTGACTTCCGCTTCCAGGCTCTTCTTTAGCGAACGCCGTCCGGCCACCGTCACCGACGATGAGTCACCCATCATCGCCGCACATACTAGAAAACCCATAGGCGTCGTACCGGGGTTTATTTCGTTTATTACTTGGCTCATTTTAAATACAATTTACTTCTCAAAATATTGAGATAAAGTCATAAATTTTTTTATGGAGACGACTGGGCAAATTTTGGTTAGCGTTTTAGCATCTACATAAATATTCTTAAAATACACCTAATAAAATGTCATGTCATTGCAATCGATCTAGTATTTTCGAAAATTGCTATTAAAAGAGAATATTCACAAAAGGTTAATAATATACTGATAGGTAATAGAAAATGTCGATGTATCGTTTCTGCCTATTTATTTGTCGTTTTTTTATCCTCTATCTACTCAACAACTAATGAATGCGAAATTTTATGTGAACATCGTATAGATGCTAAAACGCTAGTCAAAACTGGTCCTTTTATCATTTCCACTAAAAATTTAATGATGTCTCAAAATTTTGCGCGCTCCGTTATTGACTCGAACATATGCATTGATTATGCTTCAGAAGTGAAGAAAATTTGGTCAGAAGATAGATCAGTTTTTTTTTTTAGTATATCGTAGTTGAACTAAAAGTAAATCATTAATTAAATTATATACATTATAGTGTAAAATATGTATTTAATCACGTAAATGATAATTCTTTTAGGTACAGGTATTTACAACTTGTTTTGAACAAAGTTTTTAGAAAAAACTAGAAAATCGAATGTTCTGCACGTCTACACCTTATATAATACAAATGATAATTATGAAATTCATGCATATAATTCCAAATTCTCATTAGTAATTATAACATACGAATTTATTGTTAAAATAATTATGTTGGCAACACCAATGCGTTGCTTGTTGGGCTTGATAATTACGATGAAATAAATTTCATAAATCAGTATTAATTTATTAGTATTTGTGTTGCACTATAAGAGTAATAAAAAACACAATCAAAGGAAGTCCATGAATGTTTGAATATTTGTCTTTGATAGTAGCATTTTCAACTGAAACATTCAAATTGATACAAATCTGACGAGACGGAAAATTTGAACGAAGACCAATCTTCAAAATTCCATGGTCTTAGAAAAAAATCAGAAAGTAAATATTTCTGTAGGTTTTTTAAGCACCTAATTATTTTAAAGAGACTGTAAAAAATGTGTGAAGTTCTTAACACCTCATTTACCTGATGTCATCAAAGTTAAAGTATATTTTTCAGTACAAATTTCGTTACCTAATGGTGTTCTAAGAATATATCTTTTGGTTTCGGCAGCGAAAATTTTATTAACATTGACAAATAAATAATGTAATAGATTCTCTAGCTTCGGAATTTATTTGTGTAATAAAACTGCCGGCAGAAGCAGAGGCGGGAAGATTTCCTTTTCGTATTCTATGATATGTGAAGCGGTAAAAACCCAAAATTTAACATATTCGTCAAAATGCATGGACAAAGTTTACAGAATATACTCTTAATTTATTTTAGTATTACAGTACGTCCCCTAGCTATTGCTCGAGAAGTAAAAACTTTTTTTTGTTGTTCTATGCGTGGATGTGCTCTCTAACGAGAAACACACTTTACTTCAATAAGAAAGTGGAAAGTGTGTCTTTTATACAAAAAAGTTACTTGTTTTCAACAAAAAAATTAAATTTAGTGCTCAAAAAAAATCGCCTAATTCAGTACTGGTTATTATTTATTGTCGACTACTGGCCACTTTGTCAAATAAATAATCTCAAACAATAAACGGATTATTCTTAAATTTTTGGTGTCACTTTAAGATAACGTGCAAATGGTAAAATACTAACCACAATTTATTCTATAAATGATTCATCAGTTATTTTAAATATGGTTCAGGAACTAATATGAAATAAATAACAATATAATAGCTTTAGGTACGTTTTGTTCTCCTTTTGCTAGCGCTTTCCTTGTCAGTATACCGTAGTGTGAGTTCATTTTCGTCGGTACCATTTTTATTTCCACGGGCATTACAGTGAAAAAAATGCATCGTCGAATGCAATGATATTTGATAACTATTTTCAAAGTAATAAAATGGCTGACATAGTTAAATTTTGAGTTTAATGGATAGTAAAAGAAATTTTATATTCTAAGTACTTACTTAACATTCGCCACATTCTTTAAAAATATTTTTTTCTGTAAGTAATTTGTTCACTTCATTTCGGTGGCAACGAATGTATGAAACACGGTATCTTTAATTACAAAATTCTGTTTGAGTTCCAGATTTTAACGCACGCAGTATAATTTATTTAAAAAAGTAAATGTAATTGTCAGACATTAATTACCGGCGATGGACAGTTGAGCAGAAAAAATCCAGTTTTAGCAGTTTTAATTGAATTTCGTACATTTAGTTAATGGCGCAATATATCTCTAGTTACTTTAACAAGGAACAGTAAACACCATAAACTTGTTACCGGTTCGCTGTAAATATTTATTCTTCATTAATAATCAGTCTTTTTGAAATTTCCTGCATCCATGTTATAGGGTGTAACAACATAATATATAGAATAAAATAAATTCTTAAAAAGAAATCAGTGAAAAATATCGCTATAAATCTTAATCAGGAGCCACATTCTGGATTTTAATGGCCATGTTTTCTACGAAATTTTTAATTTAGTCTCGAATGCTGCATTTGACAATAAGTTTTCGCCATCGTTTAAACTATATTTTTATGGGTGCGAATTGTAGATAAAGTAGCATTTTTTGTTCAAAAATTGAATAACAAATAATTGTCTAGAGTCCAGTTTTTGTAAAATTTGTTTATATTGGAAGCTTGTTATCGTTTAGAGTAACATTTGACAAAGCGGAACAAGAGTAAAAAGTGTCTTACTTTTGATTGATCAAACCGGTAATTTGAAATTAAATTAAATCAAATAATTTTAATTGGCAACGAAATCCGTCAGACAATTATTCACTCTACCTACACCTATTATCTTCTGGAAGTTCCGGATGGCGTCAGAGCCACTGCTATAAATAAACTGAAACTATAACATTTAATTACGAAACTATTCTACTAAGTTGTTTTCGATTTTTACACTATCTTGTGTATAAAGTATTCATAAAAGACGACATTCACCGAATATGGTAAAAATTGCTTCTTTTTTCACCTAGAACTATTAAAGATTAATTATTGCCTGTTTAAAAAACAGAACCTGGTATACCTACTCTCTTCATTTTAATGTAGTGGCAAATATCGCAGTCACAGATTTCAATGATACATAATAATTATTGAAAATAAAATTTCACTTTGGTAAAATTTTTCTAGTGTATGATCAAAATTCTTGGAATTTTTTCAGTGGAAATATTCTAAAGTAGAGTAGGTAAGCGCATAAGAAAAGCTAAGTTATTTCCTCCTATTAATAATTTTCTCGAGTTAGAACAAAAATATATGCAATTATGTGTCGTCGCTTAATTGGTTATTACTCCAGTTTCTAATATACGATAATTTATTGGTCATAAATAAATACTAGTACTTGCTGGTGCAATAAATGTACAGGTAGTAATAAATGTGGCTTGTGTAAGAGCAATTACACGTCGGGGTGCATTATGCAGATAGGGATTTATCCTACAATCGTAACTTCCACGTGTTTGAAATTTTTGTTTTAAAGCCTACAATGAAAATGAAATTAATGGAATTTTTTGCATTACTAAGAACTAACACCAATAAATTTTGTTTTCATCGCCTTGATCTCGCCTGGAATTTATAGAAAATACGATAAATCATAGTGACTGAAGCGAGCGAATTTTGGAGAGACATGAATTATTCATAAATTCCATAGATTTGTGTTGTTGCACTATAATGTTGTTTTTTTTTCTTGTTTAAATAACACTTTTCTAAGTTTGCGTAAAATAAACTTCATTTAACTCGAGCAATTATCCGTGTTGATGTGTGTGTAGTCTCTTATCATTACACCTTTCTCTCAAGTGCAGATACCCAGCCTCCAGTGGACCAGCTAGTTGATTACAGTTCCGCTACGAATTAATGGTAATTAAAAACCAGTTGATCGATCATTTTTGAATCAAAATATGAAGCAATTCCCTTGGTATAAAAGCCGAACGGCACCTCCTAGCAATATCAGTGAAACGATTGAGTTGGATCCGACACGATGGCAAGTCTGACATTGGTAAGCCGCATTTTCACCCTATCACACCCCGCCCACACTCATCATTTTCCAGATAACCATATCATTCTTGAATGTGTTAGCAATCTTCACTCAAACTTGCAAATGTGAATACTCGCTTCCTCCAGCTCATCTTTACACAGAAGCCCGGTTTCCCAAAAATCCAGGACATGGGTCTGTAGTTTACATCCCGGTATGTACACCTGATTGCATCAGCCCATCTCATCATCATCAATCTCATTTATCACCCTCATGTCCAGAAAAGGTTTATAGACAACAGAAAAATTTTCGCGCACTAAATGTCTCCAATTTTCCAGGCGCACATAGGGAATTTGCCGCTACAGGACCACGGTCAGACCTACCATGCCCATTTGGACGTCGGGAGTCGTCAATTCCATCAATCGTCCGTCGCGAGCAACTTCCATGCTGGAACTTCCGGTGGCCACGATCAACATTTAAGTGGAGCTTCTCACCATGACCATGGAAGTGCATCAGTGTACCAGCAAAGCAATCATCACAGTTCGGAACAAAAGCACTCCATCCATCACCATGGGTCTGGAGTGAGTCATCAAGTTTTCAAGCAAGAACACCAGCAGGGGCAACATGTCGACTTGTCGAGTCAAGTTCACGATCATGATCATTATCAATACGACAAGTCTGATGAGTTACATCACAAGAAAGATGAAAATGTGCATTACCAGTTTGAGTACTTGGTTAATGATCACAAAACGGGAGACGTGAAGAGGCATCGCGAAGACCGCAAAGGCGATGTCGTGAACGGTGAATATTCTTTGCTGGAAGAAGATGGGAACGTCCGAACCGTGAAATACTACGCGGACTGGAAATCGGGCTTCCATGCCCAAGTCCACAACACTAAGCCCAAATCGGTGGGATAAATATTCCTTTTTCTCAAAATATGTACTGTATTCCTAGTCTATCTTATTTTTATGTTATCGTACAAATCGAATTGTGATAATTATGTAACGTTTTGAGGTGTTGTTAATTAATAAAATATCGGAAAAATTCCGAGTTTTAATTTCTTGATCAATTATCAATTTAATGACAACTTAGGAAATTTATTTATATCGATTTCAGTTTAATGACACAGAAAAAATTTTGTATGGGAGAAAGTGAAGTAATAAATACGTAATCGTAACGCGAAGTGATAGAAAGTAATCCATAATCAAGAGATAAATTAAAATCGGATGTCATTAACTTCCTATTTGAGACGAGAGGCAAGGCTGGTCTAAGAATGCAGATAATTATGATAAAACGTGACCCAAAGCTGTCAGAATTTTGTTATAACTATTTAAAAATGGCGCGTGCATTATAATTATGAGTTTCTACTAAACGTTTCACGTTAAAATTATTCCAGCGGGTATAAAAGAAAGCAAATTTAAATATTCTAAATGATCAAAAAAATTAATTATGCTACGATAAAATTCAAAATTCCTTAACTCGAAAGATTTACATCCTGAAAATATAATTTAGATGATTATATAATTCCGAATGCTTTAATTAATACTAACACTACCCACAATATCTGCACTTAATTAACAGCATGCAATTAATACTTTGCATTAAATTAAATAATCTTGATTAAGATTTCAAATTTGTTTGAAACAAGTTATCCAGATAAACACATCACAAGATTTTGTTAAAGACACCCGTTAATTATAACGTAGTACTTTTTTGCAACTTTTTTATTAAATTATAATTTCTCACCATTATATGTTGTGTATTGAAAGAAAGAAAGAAAGAGAGAAAAAGTGTAATAAGTTAAAAGCAAGAATCTACACACTTTAAATTATATAATAGCACTCCTATTAAATACTTCCGAGTGCGCACACATTATGTTTTTTCTTTGATTATTATTATTATCGGTATATTTATCAGAAAAACAAGGAACTGGTTAGCAGGTGATTAAGAAATTAATTTTAAGAAAAGCAGCGCTACAAATAGTTCTCAGTTTTAAATTATCTCATTTACAATGTACAAAAAAAGTGAGGTGTTAAAACCAGATTTTATAACTAATTATTTATTTATGTACGTTTCTATGACAATAGGTATCTGATAAACACTAGGACAGTTTTATAAACAAATTTTGATTATGTCTTCACTACGTATTTTTGTAATTTATATTATTAACTTACGGCTATAAAAGAAATTTTAAATTGCTTTTAACTTGATCTTCTGATCTTAAATTTTAATCTAGACAAAACGCAACTAAAAAGGGGAACAAAATGCATCGACAGGCAATAACGAACAAACGACAGATATACAGAAAAGGAAGACCAACATTTTCCTATTTTTAAAGCTGTGAAACGTCGTGAAAACTTAAATTACTTATTTTTTCGAAGAGTCTTTTGTAAGCTATTTAAAAAAATATCAGTGTATTGAGAAAGCACAAGTGTAGCGGAGCTTTCAAAGCGCTCCGCTAGTACCCTTTCGAGGGCGCTGTCCTCGGCAGCGCCGATATCAACCCCACCAAGCTCACCCCCACTGGAACGCACCCCACCTGAAGTTACTTCATTGTGCAGGTACTCCCACGCATCTCAACCCTGCCTATAAAAGGGCAACTCGGACGCTTTCCAGGCAGATGGAACTCCACCATCTCCACCTTAAGGGCTGCACTGTCTCGGTCCCCTTCTGGTGATCACCAGGGCTGCACTGTGTTACGGTCCCCTGCGCCGCTTCGAGATTATCACCAGGGCTGCACTGTTTACGGTCCCCTGCGCTGCTTCGAGATCTTCACCAGGGCTGCACTGTTTTACGGTCCCCTGCGCCGCTTCGAGATCATCACCAGGGCTGCACTGTTTTACGGTCCCCCTGCGCCGCTTCAACGACGTCATCTCCAGGGTCGCACTCTCTAGGTCCCCTGTGCCGCATCGCCGACGTCGTCATCTCCAGGGTCGCACTCTCTAGGTCCCCTGTGCCGTATCGCCGACGTCGTCATCTCCAGGGTCGCACTCTCTAGGTCCCCTGTGCCGTATCGCCGCCGTCATCCCCTACGACGCTCTGAGTCCCAGGAGCCGCCACCATCCCCGACGAGAATTGCCACCACTTCGATAACCCATACCCATATTTTGCTTTGTATTGTTTGCTTATTATCAATAAACCGCTGAGCTACCACAATCTGTCGCCCTAACGTGGGGCTTCGAACAAGGAAGGATACCACAAACTGGCGCCCAACTTAGTGGCTCGAAGGAGGCAACATTCTACAAATCTATCGCCCAACTTAGTGGCTCGAGTGGCTCGAAGAAGGCAGAATACAAGAAAACTATCGCCCAACTTAGTGGCTCGAAGGAGGCAAAATTCCACAAAACTGTCGACCAACGTCGCGGCTCGAAGAAGGCAAGATTCCACGACAGAAAAGAACGGCATCACTCCCAGTCCGAAGAAGTCCCCGTAACTCCACAATGGCGGCTATACAAATGACACCGGAGCAGTTCCAGCAGCTCTTGGATAGGGTACAAGTTGTCCCACAACCGCAAGTGGTCAGGAACCGCCACTTTACCCACTGCCAGGCCCGTTTTGACGGAAAGCGCGCCCACGCTGCTGTAACGGAATTTATTACGGCTGCGAGTTTATACAAGGATATGGAAAATATCACGGACGAGGACGCCATAGCCGGCTTACCCCTACTATTGACTGGAGAAGCCAATCAATGGTGGAATGGCGTGAAAAATCAAATACACACATGGAGAGAAGCTACGGAACTTCTACGAGAAGCTTTTGCCCCCAGGCGACCTAACCATCGCCTTTTTTTGGACATTTTTAATAATCCCCAGGACGAAAAGACGCCAACCGATAAGTTCGTAACCATCCAACGAGAACGACTGGCGCAAATGACGAGAGACTTGGACGAGGAATGGCAGTTAGACATAATCTACGGTCTGCTGAGATACCATATTCGGGATAAAATCGCCAGGTCCGACTGCAGGTCCTTCGCTGAACTTCTCGATAAGTCCCGAATCGTTGAGGAGAACGAGCGAGAAACGAGGAGAGTTAGAAACCACGCACCAGAAACCCCAGAAAATGGCCAAACATTCCGACGGCAAGAATTCCCAAGAATTGACCGAAGACCACGGCCCAGGTGCGATTTCTGTAAGAACTTTGGCCACGAGACACAAGAATGCAGGAGAAAAACACAGGATCAGCGACGACCGGCCAATGACCAAGAGATCATTAGATGTTACGGATGCCAACGTCCCGGCGTCTTCCGCCGGAACTGTCCAAACTGCAATTCAGAGACACGACGGACAAACCTCTGTGCAGCGAGGATAAATTCTAGAGCGCAACCCACCATAGATCGCTCACAAGAAATCCTCCGAGATATGCAGGTACCGCCACTCACCGTACCGATGCAAATCGATGACATCCGGACCTTCTCCGCACCATCACCAGCCCGAGATTTTTCCGCGATGGAATACATGGGGGCTGACGCCCACTCCGCCATTGGGAATGAGAAATTCCCCGAAATTCCGCGCATCACGTTCTCCTCTTTGCAACTTCCAGCAGAGAAAGGACGGACCTTCCGCAAAGAAAAGAAGTCCCGGCGTAAAGGCCGGAGGAAGATGAGGAAACCCTTTGTGCTAACGACAGATAGCAGCTACGTACGAGGAGTAGCTCCACTCCAGGGGGAGGCCACCAACGAACTCCCTGTAAAATACGGTAGCCGCTTGTTCACGAGCGCCGAAAGGAAATACACCGTCCAGTCGCGAAGACCCGCACACGAGTACCAACCCCGAGATCAAGTACTGGTAGTAACCCATCCACGAATCAACGCTCGAAAAGGAGTCAGCGCCCAAATTGCTCCTAAACGCGAGAGGCCTTACATTAGGCGCCCACAAGGACCTACGAGTTATAAGGTATACGACGCACAGCATCCCCAAGCATCCCTAGGTTTCTACCATACTCCGTTTCACGGGAGCATTACACCTACGCCAGCGCCAGTGGCCCCGCTACGAGGCCGCCTCAGAAAGCAAGTTCAGGACCATAGTCGGGACGCCTTAATGGTCCTGAGGGGGAGATTGTAGCGGAGCTTTCAAAGCGCTCCGCTAGTACCCTTTCGAGGGCGCTGTCCTCGGCAGCGCCGATATCAACCCCACCAAGCTCACCCCCACTGGAACGCACCCCACCTGAAGTTACTTCATTGTGCAGGTACTCCCACGCATCTCAACCCTGCCTATAAAAGGGCAACTCGGACGCTTTCCAGGCAGATGGAACTCCACCATCTCCACCTTAAGGGCTGCACTGTCTCGGTCCCCTTCTGGTGATCACCAGGGCTGCACTGTGTTACGGTCCCCTGCGCCGCTTCGAGATTATCACCAGGGCTGCACTGTTTACGGTCCCCTGCGCTGCTTCGAGATCTTCACCAGGGCTGCACTGTTTTACGGTCCCCTGCGCCGCTTCGAGATCATCACCAGGGCTGCACTGTTTTACGGTCCCCCTGCGCCGCTTCAACGACGTCATCTCCAGGGTCGCACTCTCTAGGTCCCCTGTGCCGCATCGCCGACGTCGTCATCTCCAGGGTCGCACTCTCTAGGTCCCCTGTGCCGTATCGCCGACGTCGTCATCTCCAGGGTCGCACTCTCTAGGTCCCCTGTGCCGTATCGCCGCCGTCATCCCCTACGACGCTCTGAGTCCCAGGAGCCGCCACCATCCCCGACGAGAATTGCCACCACTTCGATAACCCATACCCATATTTTGCTTTGTATTGTTTGCTTATTATCAATAAACCGCTGAGCTACCACACAAGTTATTATATTTTCACATTTTAGATACGATTTACCCAGCAAAATTTTAAGATGACGTCCTCAACTTTTTGGTGTGATATAAATACATAAATTTTGATTAATGATTTACTATGGTTATGATAACATTAAAATGTTTGTAAGATTTCAAAACAAAATAATCAACTTTGTTTTTTTTTCGAAAAATCTGTATGTCTACGGTAAAAAATAAGACGGATTAATAAAGCACAAGTATGGACAATATATATTTTATAAGACTGAAAAATGATTTACTTTGCAAAATTTTGAGATGAGATCAACAGTTTGTTAGTGGGGATGATGGGACAAATTTTGGTTAGCGTTTTACCATGTACAAAAATTATATTCCTAAAATTTCACTATCAGTAGTTTTGTCTAATAAAATTTGTAATAAACAGCAGACGGAAATAGGTGATCTAGTTTTTAATATTTTGAGTAAGTAAATGGATCCTGTTACACTACTTTCTTAGCTTACACTCAGGAAATAATCCAAGTCCAAGTCTTAGATAAATCATAAAAATTGATTCAGCCTTAGATATACTGCAAATGTTTTTATGATAATGCATATATGTTAAAAGCTGAAGATAATTATATTTTAAGAACTTTGGGAAAGTTAGCTATGTAGTGTCCTAATTTTAAAAATTAAATTTCGCGCTGAGAAAAAAACAACGTCGCGAAACAGCATTTGGAAAATAAAAAAAATCGTTTTAATAATTGTAATTACGTGTACGTGTTAAAATTGGTGTGAAAGTTTTTGTTTGTAATTTCATAAAGGGGCAATTGTTTGCACAAAATTAAATCGCCTTCGACGCCACGGTTCCCCTCCAACGAATATAATTAGTGTAAGAGCAATTAATTAGCGATTTCCAAATCTGAAATGTTGTGAAACTTCGGTGACTTCGTCAACACGTGTTATTTTTGTTTTATTGTTTGTAAATTCACAGTTGTAGTTACGATTTTTAACTGTTCAAATGGTAGAAAATTCACTTATTTAGGCTTCATTGTTTTTTTTGCCACGATATAATTAAAGTTCTAGATGTTTTTACGTAAGTACTAATAGTTCGAAACAGGGGGTCTACTTTATATTTATATTGTTTTGTTTTTACTTCCCGAGCGTAAGCAAAACTATTGTAATCGAGTCCGTCAGCCGACTCTCTACTTTTGCATTTTCTCAACCTACCATGATCCCTAGAGGACGAAGAAATAGATCTCCCGTTTCCGTCTGTCTGTCTGTCTGTCTGTCTGTCTGTCCGTCCCGGATTTTTATTAGACAGATAATCTCCGAAAGTACTGGACCGATTGTTGTGATATTTGTATTTATATTAGGAATATCAGGTAGATGGTAAAATGCTAACCAAAATTTGTCTAATCATCCCCACCACTAATGTGATGACGTCACTTCAAAATTGTACATAGTGAATGGGTTTTAAATTGTATAAAGTAACATAGTCCTACACATGTAGTTTATGACTCCGAATTGAATTTTTATCCGAAACGTCCAGATTTTTGGAAAAAAAATCAAAATTTTGAAACAACGTTTTGCAATTTAATTTGGTATCTGCAAAACCGAATGCTTTGAAATCTTGCAGATGGTTTACAGTTATGATAAGAATGATATATTTGTAATCAAAATATATTTACTTATCCCCTCCAAAAAATTGATGACCTCAGCTTAAAAGTTTGCCGACTAAATCCTATTTAAAATGTACAAAATATGATGAGTCTGTATTTGTGATTTATCATTCCATTCATATTTTCTCGATTTGCATATACAGGGTGACTCAAAAAAAATAATTAATGGGGAAATTTATTTTAAAGATTTAATCAGGAACTACAAAATCGAATGCTTTGAAATCTAGGAGATGTTTTAAAATTATCATAAGCATGGTAAATTTTTGATCAAGATGTATTTGCTCATCCCCCCCTAAAAAATTGATGACGTCACCCCAAAATTTTGCTGAAAAAATCTTGTGCAAAGTACGATGAGTCTATACCTGTGATTTATCACTCCATTAATATTTTTTAGATTTGCTTATACGGGGTGTCCGAAAAAAATTAACGACTGAGTCAATTTATTTTATTGATTAAATCAAGAATTGCAAAACTGAATACTTTCTTTTTTCCATTACACTGTGACTAATACTTTCTATATGGTTTTTACTTCATAGAGGTTATCACGAAAAACTAAAATTCCGCAAAATCAAATTTTATAATTTTTCAGAGAAGCAGTATTTGTTGGACTGTACTTCAGGAGCGAGGGAAGTTCTGTCGAAATAACTTTCGACCAATTTTCTGCACCCATGACATTTGAGAACACTTTTACCAGAACTTTTTTTTACTTTTAGCACTCATACTTCGAGACTAATATTTTATTTCGTACGTACCTTTCAATAACACGCTGTATGAAATACAAAATGTTCGAAATATTATAAAATTTAATTTTGCGAATTTTGTAATCGGGGGGCGACTGGCTACTTTTATGTTTTCTCGACATTTCATGACCCAAAGAATATGAAAAATTAGGTCTCGTGTCATCTATGTACCGTCTGTTCAGATTTTTATTAGCCAGATAATCTCCAAAACTACCGAATCGATTGTATTTTATATGTATGTTAGGAATATCGTGTAGATGGTAAAACGCTAACCAAAATTTGCCGAATCTCAATGTCATGACATTTCAAAAATGTTTATAACAAAATTTTTTAAAATAACATACTCTTGTATTTGTTTTTTGAATACAAATTCGCAAAATCATTTTTTTTTTATTTTTCAAAGAAGCGGAATTTCTGGGACTGCACTTCGGGGGCGAAGAACCATGATCCGATCTACTTTCTCACATCTTGAATTTGAACATTTATTGTCGAATGAATATTTGATTTTGATCGTATTTAATTTGTGTTGGTTGTGTTTATTTCATGAGTTTTTTTATGTGATTTGAGGATTTGTTGGGTCCACGATGTAATCTATGAACTCAATTTGACTTAATCACTAACTCAATTAATGCATGGTTTGAGTAATTTGACATAGAAAATGTAAATTATTTGTTGTTTGAAATTCTTAATAGGGCACGGTTTAATTAAATTTTGCTTGTTGGTTTTCTTGTAATTTGAATAATGTTCATTTTCCTATCGCCAAAGTTCAGGAGATTTTCAGTTCAACCGAAATAAACGCACGGGATAGCGTAGTGAAGACATCACACATTCAGATTGAGAGCTTTCCTCTCCTCGTTTTCACGTGGGGGCTGTGTGTCGCTAGGGCAAACAGACCTTCACAAGAAGACGCCTTTCGCGCCGCTTTCGCTATGCATCCTCACGCTGCTTAGCTTGTTTTCACTCAGCTTGGTCTTTTCTTGTTTGACCGCCATTATTTAAAACTGCGGTACTACTCTGCTACCTCTATGCAAACACACAATTTTGTTGACGATCACAGTTCAAATTTTGAATTTTTTGTGGGTTTTAAAAACTAAATGATTCTCTTAACTGTTTTAAACATTATTATGTAAACAATTCTAAAAAATTAATATCACTTACTAAAACGGAAACGTTACATTTCGAATTATGTATATTTTTGAATGAAACATTTATTTAATAAACTAGTCTGTAATATTTAATTCATTGTCTGTAACAGTATTTTGTCAAACTATTAAATTCGAATTAACCAATGTTTTTTTTACGATAACTTGTGCAAGTGTGTTGAAAATATGAGTATATTATAAAATCACCCATAAAACAGTATTATGTCACGTAAAATTTTCAGTAAGATTTGCTTGAGAAAATTTTGTTAAACTTCATCAAGTTTTAGCAAGGGATCAACAAATGAGCGATCTACCTACCATGTACGATAAGGGTGTGCGAAATTTGAGGGCCAGTTAAATTCAAAAATTTTCATACACAAAGTCAAAAATAGGAATGAACTAATAAATTACAAGAAGAAAAGTTTTAAAAGCCAAATTTTAGTTATCGTTTTATAGTGCTGCAACGAAAATAATGGTTTTATAATTTTGGCTTTTCCAAACCCCTCGTTTGCAAACAAAAAGTTAAGCGTGCTGACCCAAAAAAAGCGGCTATTCAAGTTTAGGATGGTGTCATAAATTTGCATCTTATAAGCTATTGATAAGGGTGGTGGAGGAGTCAAAATCGTAATAGCACTGTTCTCCTTGGTGCACCATACCATTTAAACGATATTCTTAAAACAGTTGATTTGAAATTTTAAGTCTGGGTTTTGAAGCGAACGCGGGTATAATTATGCTTTAAAGATACGAAAACACTGTAAGCTTAAATAATTTTACAAATTGTCATTTTTTTTATTTATGTTGAAATTTGGGTATTTTTCAAGTTTTGTAACTACGGCAGTGACCACAGTCGTGGATTGGTCAGGAAACTTGCGAGTTTAAAATAGTTTTTTGGAGGCAGGAAGCTTTGGAAGCCAACGGTGGCTAGAGCCATCTGTCGGGTATTATTACGAAACTGTTAATAACCATATGAGTTTACATAAAAACAAACTTAAATCGATAACAGGATTACAATAAAAGTATAAAATTCTATAAAATAATATTTATTACGGAAATATGTAAACCAATTATCATACTATACGAAAATACGAATTTGTTAATGGTCTTTCAAACTTCCGCTACCATGACCATGACACATAAGTATACTGTTGCGAGCGATATTTACCTCCTAAATCCCTTTCAGATCACTATTTACAAGGTGCGGCATAAAACTAAATTGTAAAACTGACAAAACTACCGCTAAAAATAACCAAAATCTCGTAGAAAACTTTTTCTCTATGAAAACAACTCAACATTTACCATAAATAAAGAAATTATAATTTTGTTGTTATATTTATTACAATATATTTCATAATGAAAAATTACACTTATTAGCAAGGATTCTTAAAATTCCAAAAATGCAGGTACTTGATTTTAAAATGTACAAGTCAAAAACACACTTAGTGATGAAACATGTGAAATTAGTTGAACACATTTTGTAAATCTCAAAGTATAACACTAAACAAAATAAAGATAGAAAAACTCTCACGACAGTCATCTGTGCCTCGCTTTTTTGTTATTTGTTTTCTTAGCACTTGCACTAAAACTTTTTTGTTTTGCAGAAATGTCTCTGTTTGGACTATTACGATGATCGAGACCGTTCTGTACTCCGTTCAATGAATTTGTCGAATGTTTTCCAGCATTTTTCATCCCAGAGTCTATGTGATTTGAATTTGGACCTAGGTTAGTATCACTAGAATCTTCATTTGTTTGAGATTCAGTATCGCTGTGTGGTTCCACTACGAGTAAAAAATAAAACTATAATTACTTGAAACAATTGTTACTTAATATCAATACCTGTACAGAAAAACTAGACGTTTTTAGCAATTTTGACATCAATTCACTCGGCTGAAAAAATTCATGGTAAGTGAAACGTGAGGATTTTGTGCAACTCATGTCAAGATTTGATTTAAACAGTGGCATACGAGAATTTTACGTTTTACTTAAATTTTTCTGTTAAGGTATTTCAGGTAGTGAATAAATAGCATACAACTAACAACTACATAGAATACCTACTGCTTAAAACATAATCATCACATTATGCTCATGTTGACACCCCATAAGAAAATCTTTCAGTGAAATACATTTCAGGCGCAACAAAAGCAAATCACAATGAAATACAACTAACAAAAATTATAAAGCATATTATAGTACAAAATATGCAATAGAAAATCTGCTGTTATATATTTTTTCAAAACTGGTTGTTATTATTCTGATTTACTGAGTACACGACCGTACAAAAAATTGTGTTAAAAATTATTGTGGAGCTAAGATGACCCAATATACCTACATATCGAACGCCACAAATCTATGAAAGTAAAAAAGTAAAAGGTATTTATTATGACTGTTTAACTTAACTTTTTATTTGGATACCTCAAAAATGCAAAAAACAACATACAATTACGAGGAAATTAATAGAGAAAAATGCTACATACAAAAATAAAGCCTACGTGTGGAAGCAAAAAGAGAGATTTTATTGATTTCTATGCACTATTAAACACAATTTACTTAATAATAACAAGTAATTTAATTTTTTTTTATAGAAAGGGGGTCTCTTTTCTAGTTTATAACCATAAAATAAAATTTTGCCCTTCAATAAAATCCTTCTTTGTTGAAGTGCTATAAAAACTGGTAAGTGAGTGAATAGGAGGTACTTAAGAGCACAATCAAATAAAGTTACTGCTAAAAAAGACAAAAACTACAAAAATAGAAACACTACAAAACTCCTAACATTACTACACAAAAGAATTATTTTTTAATTCATAACTATTCTTACTTTTCTCCTGACTTTGATCAACAATTCCACTAACTGCCTATAAAATAAAGACATTCAATTTCAATCAAGACTGCAAATCTTGGAGTTAACTCACCGCCATTGACGTAATTGATGATTTTGAAAATAAACGCTCGGCTTCTTTAAACTTTCTGTTACGTTTATCGGCTTTTGAATTTGTGGTTTTGTTACTTGATAAGTACCGATCCCAGCCACGAATTATATTGCCATATAACTGCGTATCTTCTAAGTAGGAACCCTCAAAAGCATAAATTTGTCTTTCAAGATTTGCCAGGGTTTCCTGTGGATTTGAACACATCGTTAAGTAGTGAATTACAATCATGTAAACTTAAGTAAAGGTCAAATGTTCCTTGTATTACGTTTACTAACACTATTTATTAAAAAATAGTTACGAGTCTCACCCCAATTTCTGCTTTTCTTTTAACGAGTTCGGCTAATTCTTGCCGAGCATCAACCGACACATTATTCTTGGCTGACATTGTCTTGATAACTACTCAGAAAATAAATTACAAACAGTTAAATTAAAAAATTCTAACCATCTACAATTTGTTTTTATAAGCAATTTTATGTTTGTTTCGAAAGGTAACATACGCCTATAAACATTATTATTCTGTCACTGTCAAACCATAGATGTCAAACAACAGTCTCCATATTTATGGTGTCAAAAGTACGTCAATCGTTACGTCATCCAATAACACAAAAATTAAAATCCCTAAAACACTGACTGGTTTATGATTTGTCAACAAGAATTTTTAGGTTATATGAGTATATTAAAATTGAAAATTACACAATATAATTATTAAAAATAAGTTTAAAACATGACGCAGGACAAGTTGTTACGTATCACCCAAATGAATGCAATTTTTTTGGATAGAGAAATATATAAAGCTCTAATGCATATCATCAATGATACAAGTAAATTCTTACCAGTAAGTAATTTTAAACAAATTCCACATGTTAACAGCAGGAAATATTTTCAGCCCGGATACATCGCACCTTTTGAACCTGAAATAGGTTTAATTGTACGTTTAGCGTTACTAAAGAATTCTGTGTGCCGAAGTGAAAATACCTTTGGACAACAGTTACTATCTGTTAAATATAGTAATCTGTCTGGTACGAAAAAAGTGCTCTATGTATTAGGAAGTTGTTTTGAATATGTTAAAAATCGGTTAGAAATGTGGAATCCTTCACACAAAATTAACAATCTTACATTTAAAATTCAGACAGTCCTTGTGATTATGAGCTTTATTAATATGTCCATATTTTTACGAAATGGAGTAAAACCCCAACTTATTGAAAGGTTACTGGGTCTAAATCAAGTCTATGCAACTGAGAATGCCCCAAGACATTTTGAATCGAAGTATTTAGCCAGAGAGTTACTTTGGAATGGGTTTATTGTAGGTTTTAGCCAAACTTATTGATTATATACTTATTCTTCATATTTTAGGATATTTTGATTCACATGTTGCCACTAATTAATTATCACAAGATAAAACGCACCTTAAGACATTATAATCCACTCCACAAGAGACCAGCTTATGTCGTATTAAACTCGCGTGTTATGACTATGCACTCAAAATGTGCATACTGTGGAGAAACTCCGATTTTACCACATCACATGGGTTGTGCACACATATTTTGTTATGTGTGTCTAAAGGTAAATCACATAAATGTTACTGAAAATATTACATAACTCATTTATAGGGTAATCAGGCTGCAGATTCAAAATATGAATGTCCCATTTGTGAACATAGAAATCCTAACGTTTTATGTGATAGAGTGTCTGTGATGTAGATGATGAATTTTAAAAAAAGTTTAATATATGAAAAGTTTTGAAATTATGGCAAAAATAAGTTTGTAAATATATATATCACGATGTAGCGTTTTGCTTCATTCTGTTCATTTCATTACTGGTCATCTGAATAACTTGTTTGGTTGAAAGACTCTGCAAATCGTCGCTCTGAAATGTGAAAAAAATTATCACTAGTACTAGTTGATTTATGAAGAATTACGTTGCAAAATTGTGGGAGCTTTTTTCACTGAACAAAACTGTGCTATCACGTAGAAACAAAGGGTAACTATCAAAACAGTCACTGTAGAAGCCATAAAAACATACTCATTATGTCTGCGATATTTACAGCATTTATCACTCCAAAACGATCTTGTTTTATTCATCTAAAACAAATGTTTTCAGTTTTATATTTCAAGTGTTATATGTACTTAACTCACCAAGTCCACAATATCCATGCATGTCCCAATTTTTTCATTTTCATTACTAAAACTACTGAAATAATCATTCATTTTTATGTAATCTTTTATACATTTAGGACAAAGAATAGTGTCATTATTATCATGTGTGTCCACACAATGCATAAAATCTGAATAGTATGTCTGGAATGTTCGAGCTTCGTCTGATTTATTAGGAGTCAGAGTTCCATTAACAAATTGAAAGCATTCTTAAAATACACAGTGAAAATTTAATCTTGTGAAAAATTGCAACTTACCATCACATTTTGCATCACTCCATAAGTTGTAGGTATTGCTATATAAATTTTCAACAATTTGTAAACGGTCTAAATTAATAAAATAATCGATACAGTGTGTGTGATTACTATCTGTAAGCTAAATATTGTGTTACTTCAAAAAACTGAGAAGTGGTATGAGAGAAACATTACCTGTGTCATATTTTTGTAGCTTTCACTTACACTTAGATATAATTGCACGCAGTCTTGACATATAGTTATCGGCTGTGAACTATTAATTGAACAAGCAATAAAATTTGATGTAGAATTCGCAAACATTTCCTTGAGAACTGAACAATTTGTTTCCATATTTGCTGACGTAACTCTAAAATTTTCCTTAAGTAATTTATGAAGTATAATTATTTTACTACTTACATGTGCACCAAGAAAAAGAAAATTAATGAAGGGGCCCACATTTGTCAGCAACATATAATTCTTGTATTAGTAGAACGCTACATCAGGACATTCCCCTGGAACCCCATGACATACTATAAAGAGATAATAATTGATAAAAATAGTGACAACAAACATACAATATTACTATGTAGTACACCAAATTCGAACACAAAATAACAATAAAGTACATATGACTTTGACATATTCACATACATAACCTTTAGAGTCGACTCAAATCGAAAAAGAATTATGTCGAAAGAAGATATTACCGAATGATATTATGCTAAGGGCACTCAAAGTGATTTTATTTTTATATGTTAGCAAATAATAGTGTAGAAATGAATAATAATACAGACCAAAGCAATGAATACAAAGAAATAATTTATTTAATAAATTTCAACAAACAATTATTTCGATCAAAAGTAAATTCGAGTCTCATGCCAACACACCGCTGCCAAGCTACCAACCTTATAAATATTAATTCATATCTGTGATTCATATTCACATGTTTGACACCTGACAAGTCTGACTTGTTGTCATTTGTTATTACCTACAAAAAATGGAATTTAGAAGATACACAAAAATTGAATATTAAGCTCTCTACAGTACTTTGCTGTGATGGATCCGCCGGAGATTTTGCAGAAAAAATTATACTTCCTTTTGGAACAATTGCAAAACATGGCTAGAGATTTGCCACCGTAAGAATTATTTGTATATAATATTTAAAAATAATTATATGTTTGCGTTATTTGCAGGAAGTACCAGATGCGCCTTCCCTATGAACTCTTGTCAAGTTTAGCTAATTGTTTACTAAATGATACAGTGTTTGAGATAGTGAAAGGGTTGCTTGAAATTCAACATGTGACAGAACAACATCTTTACCAGCAACGATTACAGTTTCTTAACACAAAAAAGTGTAATGTGGCATGTTGTTGATGACAAATATTTCTATAATGTTTGTTTTTTAGTAGAAGAACATGAAGTGCTAAATCTGTACAGCAGTGATTCAGTAAAAAAAGTGGAAGAATTAAGAAAGCTTATGTTAAAACAGAAAGAAGAATTGAAACAGTTTGATATGAGTTTGGTACTACAGTTAGATCAAAAGGTAAAATTTCATTAATGTTTAATATATTTATGGTAACTTAGTTTTGTACAGTTGTGGCGATTCTGGCATAAAAAAAACCAAAGAGTCTTGTTTGCATAAACATTTCTATTTTAATTCCAAGCAGATTTAAAGTTGTGTCCTTTACTTGTTGGCTAATATTGCAAGCAGTTGTTGCATGCCTTTTGCTAAGTTATTAAAAGTAGAATACCAAGTGACTATTACTGTCAGGTTTGTATCATATTTCAAATTTTATTATGGCAATTCAGTATTCAGTAACAGGTATATTCTCATTGGTTTTTTAAATACTTGAGTAACGCACTGAGAACACAAACTTTTAATCAAGTGACTGCTTCTACTTCGCAAATTTCAATGTCTTGTAAAGAAAAACCTAATAAACTGCAAAATAATTAAAAAATATCAATAGAATGGCAAGTCACAAGTATAGACTCATCATATTTTGCACATTAAACAGGATTTATTTGTCAAAATTTTTAGATGATGTCATCAGTTTTTAAGGGGAGTCATAAACGGATAAATTTTGAGTAACATATCATGTTTCGTTTCCGATAACCTTAAAACGTTTGCGAGGTTTGAGAGCATTCGGTTTTGCCATTTCAAAGTTAAATTGTAACGGAATCATAAGCTACAAGTGGGAGAATATGTTATTTTTTAAATTTAAATGACATTTATGATTGTAAAAGTTGGAGATGACGTCATATCATCGTTGGTGGGGATAGTCAGCCGGTCCGGTAGTTGGGAAGATTATTTGACTAACATCGATGCAGACGCGAACAGACGGAAACGAGAGACCTATGTTTTCGTATTCTAGGGGTCATATGAAACGTCGAGAAAACATAAAAGCAGCGAATCGCCCGAAGTAAAAATAAGAATATGTACATATTTCCAAAACACAAACGACGTTACATTCGGACTCATTTTTTTAACAAACATTTATCTAATAACAAATTTTTGCAATGACGTCATATATTTTTTAGAATTGGTGAATGCATTTCAACTGATATTTTGTACTTATATGTATAATCGGTGCTAATATGGTGGCATAGCTAAAAAAATCGTTTCCGTCGATGTTAACTTTTATTAAACAGATAATTCCGAAATTTCCAGATCGATTGTTGTAAATTTTTTTGTGTTTTAGGAGTAACGCTAACCAAAATTTGTCTAATCATCCTCACCAAGAATTTCATGACATCCACGAAAAATGTTTTCTAGTAAAGACCGTTAAAACTATAAATAATATACTCCCCTGCTTGCAGTTTATGAATCTACCGTGATTCTGTTTATTGTCATAGATTTTTTTTATTGTTGATATTCTTAGTTAAACATGTAGTACGAACCTTAGTAAGCATAGCAATGGTCCAGTGGTAGCGTGTCGAGTTCGGAGATGAAACGTCTGGTTCATTCTATTTTCCCAAAAATTTGAGAATACAGTACTGCTATTATTAGTATTACACTGTACGTATTCAAACTGATACACGTTCCTTGCTAAAATGTTGGTCATCACAAAATTTTGTTGTGGAAAAACTCACTTGAAACATACGCATAGCATGCTTTTTTTATATTAAGAAAATCTTGTTTTTTGTTTAACTGCAAAATGTTATTATATTATAATTAGTCAAGTTATCATTTAAACAGAAACAAGGGTAAATTGTAACCGTCCATCGTTTACACTTTCTGTTGTTCTGAGTTCATGGTTTTTTAGAATAATGCATTTGAATCAGTGCATTATTCCTACCAGACCTATTGATAGTAGAGGAGCCGTTAACATCCACTGTTGTTGTCTTTAATATTTCGAATGTATTGTTGTTGTGAGTGACACCTTATACATAATGATCCGAAAGAATTCATGAATGAGGCAATATATTTTATTGATTAAATCAAGTCCTCCAAAGTCCTACTATTAATATTTTAGAATCCAAATTAGATCAGTAATATTAATAATTGCGGTGATCCTGTATTGGCATTAAGCTGCCAATTTTTATTGATAGTTTCGACATTGGTCCGAAGCATACGTCAAAAAATTGCTAATTTCGTACTATCAGTGCATATTAAATGCCTCCCTTTCTATTTTCGGGCCAGGTAATTTGCCACCACCACACTTTTTAAAGTACATGGAAGATCTACTAGTCACTTTGGGAGGGGCGGGTAAAGTAACTAAATATATATATATATATATATATATACGTCAATGATAACTTTTGGCCTCGCGCCAGATTTAGGCAACAAGTAATGGGAGAATATGAAAACCACATCCTAGCCTCAAACCTGTCATGTCAGTGTTCAAATTTGTATTTATGGTTGCATCATTTACAACAAGCAAATGCTCGACACATTTTAAAGCAAGTAAATATTTGGAGTTATAGTTTAAACTGTTTCCGAGTAAAAGAAAGAAAAAGTGGTATGAATCAGTTTATTCAGAAACAATTTTTTGGAATTAAAACAGCCACATAGAGGCTGAAGAAATTAAGATAATCAAAGAGAAAAGAAAACAACTTAAAACTAGGAAAGCTTACTTCGTAGTAAGTGCAATTATATTCTATGAACATTTAATACTAATATAGAACACCAAAGTAGATTATTCATATTTCTTATGAAGTTAGAGATTGCAATTATTAACAAAGTTGACAACGTATGGATAAAGTTAAATATATATCTTTTAGTCAAAAGAGGTGTCTGCACAATTTGTTACAGTGTCTTTGCAGGTATATTTGTACAATGCAGCTGCTGCTGCATTCACTATCCAAATGTAAATGATTTGTCTGGTGTATGGTGCGGTCTTAAAATTAGGTATTTTTACTATATTTCAATTAGATAAATATTTTTACACATATTTGTAAATTCTCGTGCTTTGCCAGTTTTAGACGTTGGAATTTTAATTATTAGCGTATCGTTTTTGTCTTGAATGCCGTCATTATTTTTCAATTTATCCATTCCACATGCTCCTACAACTTCTAATAAAAAATAAACCTAAAACATAATGATTTATAGACAATGTGATTGACCTTGTTTGAGATCACCTTTAACATCAGGTACATTTAATCACGGGCTTCTGTTAAAAATTTTGGTAAGTCTTCTCTTGTAAATATATTTGATTTCTTGGCAATGTAACCTATATTTTTTGCTTGAAAACTTGGTGTACTTAGATATATCTATCCTGTTTTTTATTAACAGAGTTGACTTTAACTACGACTATGCAGCCCAAAGTGTTAAAGATTTCACAGAATTTGCTTTTTCAGCGAAATACTCGTATGCAATGAGGTGTTCTCCATATATTTTGCATGGTTGTTTCTGCGCAAAAAAAAAAATTCATACCGCTTTCATAAACTGTGCCTGAGTTTTTAGGTAATAAATTTGATATATTATCTGCCAGTTTTTGCAAGTTCGGTCGAATGCATGTAAACTGCTTGTTATTATTGCTATCCATCTCTATTTTGCAATTGCTGCAGATCTTTCTGCAAGCAAAAATATTAAAAGTGCCGAAAAATAAGAGGTATGCTTCATACTTTCATTTAAAATGGACATGTAAGCTAATAATCTGTTCTGTAATAATAATAAAAGCTTATTATAGGTTATGTAGATACAAGAAAATTGTTCAAATTCTTCCATTCCGCATACTCCTACAACTTCGAATAAAAAATATACCTAAAACATTATGTTTTATAGACAATGTGATTGACCTTCTTTGAGATTACCTTTGACATTAGGTACATTAATCACGGGCCTCTGTTAAAAATTTTCGTAAGTTTTCTCTTGTAAATATATTTGATTTCTGGGAAACATAACCTATATTTTTTGCTTGAGAACTTGGTGTACTTAGATTATATCTATGCTGTTTTATATTAACAGAGTTGATTTTAACAACGACTATGTAGCCCAAAATGTTGATTTCACAGAATTTTCTTTTTCAGCGAAATACTCGTATGCAAAATGAGATATTCTCCATATAACGTTTTCCATGGTTGTTTCTGCACCGAACAAAAACTTATTACAGGTTATGTGGATACACATTGTTCGCTGCCATAGAATGTCGCTGCACTTCAAGAAATCCGCTGTTGCCATGCAAGGTTGCGACGTTGCGAGATTACGCGCAAATTTAGTTAATAAATTATATTTATAAAATTAATAAACCGGATGTGTTTCTAATAACTAATAAAAAGGGTTAACAAAGAGTATAGAATTACTGCTAAACCGAAAAACAATTTATAACCTTGTAAAAGGTAATTGTGGAGGTAGATAATACTAATATGACAACACCGCATTTAATTTCTGTGTCGATTTTTGAACATAGAAAAAGCACATTACTGCGCGATTTCGAAAAAAGAAACATTACTATTTTTAGCAGCTTTTAACCTCTCTTTTTATATTTCTCCAAGAAAGGCGTACATGTCAATTTTAAAATACCAGTTTAAGTTGGAGTAAGAAATTTACTTTTATGGTTGTGTGTACAGGCACTTCTACAATTAGCAGTACAAGTTTTTGTTAATCTCTTAAATTATTTTTCTACTTATGGAGCCAATCTGGATATTTGCTTAAGGGTGTGCTTTAAATTTTAGGAATTAATATCTTGGAACGTCATGCATCGTTTCCAAAAATTTTTTGCTTCTGTTTTATTTTCTAATCACTTGGAATTTCATTTCCAAAAACAAAAATTGTACTTGAAATGATAGATATGAAGCTCATTATTCCGAAACATGTAATTATAAGATCAAATGTTACTATGCATGAAATGTATTATTTGATATAAAGTAACTTTTGATATCGCATTCTTTAGATTTTTTTCATGGGTACTTTACAGTTAATAGTATCACCATGAAATTGTTTCTTAGATTTGTTTTTCTTTCTTCCGGTATTTGAATCACAATTTGATAATCTTAAAACAACGACAATTAATTTAACTTTAGCTTGAGTTGTGAACCTGAAAGTTGTTTTGTATGAATTTGTGTGACAAAAGTGTACTAAAGATGAAAATAATTACTTATACT